TAGCTTCGTATTATCTACAGGCCAACTGTAGGATCCAAAAACATTCTTTTCATTTAACTAGGCAATGAATGACACACCCAGCTGTTTTCTCCAGCTCCCTGCAGTTTGCATTCTTGAGTGAGAGATTTCTACATCCTAGCATAGCCCCACGTTCTCAGGGTACAGAAACTTAGCCCCCACAGAAATAACTTTAGTAGCCGACAGCATTTTTTTTTACAATAGGCAGACTTTTCTTACAGGTTCCAGTTCTGGTTTGTGTCTCAGTCTAAGGTAGAGGAGTAGAACTTATTTCAGAGTGTCTTTGTTTAATTAGACATTCAGCTTAAAACCAAATCAGACAGACACTGACATCTGCTGAACGAAAAGCAAAGCAAGGGATTTCAGGAGCTCATCAAAAATTGTCAGAAAGTTTCTACCCAAAACAATCCACATTGAAGACAGGTGCCAGCGGCTTTCTATCACGCTCCCATGCGAGAGCACACCTTAAAGCCTGCTACTGCGTCGTAGGCGCTGGCAACTTGCTACACTGGTAAAACTCTTGCTAGTTAAAGAAGCAAATTAACCATGTACAGAAAACGTGCTTAACAGCGAGATCACTGTAACAGCCTTTATTGCAGCACATGCTGAAGTAACAGCTTAGCTACCCCAGAGTTTCACACATGCCTTGCTGTTTCAGAAGTGGGTTAGCAGCTCCCCATGGCTTGTAACACAGCACAGGGATCAATACCTGCACAAGAGCTCTGCCTTCCGCTGCTTTTGGTTAGGAAAGTCAATGTGCTGAGGAAGACTCCCCACAGCAATCTGTCTTTGCAACGTACGCTTTAATTAGCTGTTGCATCTTTCTCCTTAGAAAGACAGGAAAAGCCTGGAGAGGGACGCGCTTCGCAGCATTAGAGTTCATAGTCATCCGGATGGTAGAGCTCGCTCATGAGGCGATAGATGTAGGAAGGTGCGTTACCCCCGATGTTAGAAATGAAGAGAGTAATGAGCTCTGGCGGGACGTAGTCAAACACTGGGCAGTGAACATTGATCTTTGCCAGGATCTCCCCTGTGAAGTAACAGCAACAATATCAGACAAAGCAACTCGAAGTAAATTCAGCCTTCTACACGTCTTCCTGGGCTCCCAAAGAAACTGGCTATGCGTGTGCCACCCTGAAGTCAGTACTGGGACACCCAACTTCCTCACTGGTGTCACTGAATTACAGGTATAGCGCAATCTGGGATGAGTGGCAGCACTTTCTCTTGGTAGTTTTTACTGGTAGTAACCCCAAATCCCCTCTGGTGTAGATTTATTAATCGCCAGAAAAACTGCCAGTATATAATTAGAATGCAAGAATCCTGATGCTGCCAAAGTTATTTCCACAAAAGCTCAGAAGGCCAAACCCAAAAACCTGTGCCAAGCCGGAGATCTTCATTTCAAGTCTGTCACAGAAACAGAGCTTTGAAAGAGACTTTACTACCTGAAAATGGGCTTGGGAGCTGATGCCTTTCTAAAGATGGTGCTTGTGTGGGAAGCCCGTTGCAGAGATACTGGGTTTCAACAAGTGGATCACATAACGAAGTTTCCAAAATTAATGTGAGTTGTAGGAAGGAAAGGAAGCTGCCCTCGGTGCTGGGCATCTGCTCTGTCCCACAGGAAACTGCCACCTGCCTGGCACCACTATCACAATCCCATAATAAAACACTATTTCAGAGCAGAACCACAAGTATGAAGATAGTGTTCAAAGGAAATCCTTTTTCTGTACTTTCTATTAAAGTTACATAGAAAATAGGTTGGTTCCCAGCACTTTTTTTCCTGCTTAAGACAACAGGAAAGGATTTTCTGTCTTGAGTTACAGGACAGTCTTATATTTAAATTTTCTGTGAGCTATTAAAAAACCCCACACAATTATAGCCTGAACCAGCGTGACCAGCTTGTATAAAGAAGAACCAGTACCTTCTGTGAATGGCAGCACTTCCTGTGGTGACACAAACTTGTGGAATGAATCTTCTTCATTGGGGAACTGAACAAGAAAGAATACAGGAAGGTCAGGAAGAGACTGCCTCATTCTCCTAGTGAAAACACATCCTGGGTGCTGGAAGGAACTAAAGCAGAGGAAGAAGACCTGCCAGATGACTACATCCGTTTAACAGTGCTTGTACCTAGAACCTCTCTAACATCTACAGGTGAAAGGTTTTTCCTCAGAGCTTTTGGAGCCCTCCGTGACCTGGCTGCCCTTCTGCCAAGCCTAGAGAGCTGGAGCAGAGAAGCGACTTCCCCAGCCTGCAACTGCATCTGACAGTACCGAAAAAGTACTGAGCATAAGAAGCAGCTCAGAGCATCTCCAACTACCTCCTCTATCAGCACAGACACTAAACAGAGAAATTTAAATCTGCTATGGTTGAAGAAAAATAAGGGTGGTGAGGTCAGTCTCTAGTGGGCAGCGGCCTACATCCACACCTGATGCACTGCATGCTCAGCACATGCGGCAGAGGGTGCTTCAGGCAGAGCCTGAGGCGTGCCGGATTAGAGAGGAGATCCTTACCCAAAAGTAACGGCCCTAAATGGGGGAGACGGCTCCTTTACCAACCTTGCCTCGGGCGGGTGGTGCTCTCCACCCCAAGCTTCCGCAAACATGAAATCGCCCCCCGTCTCTACGTTCTGCAGGCAGGGTCCCGAGGAGCTGCTGCACTGACCTGCGGTGAAAGCTTGAACATGGGGGCACACACGATGAGCGGAGTGGAGTGGTGTTTAGCTGCCAGTGCCAGAGTGTGAGTCCCACTCACAGCAATCAGGGCGCCATTGGCCAGGATCGTCTTTGTACCAACGATGACCTTAAAAGGCAAATCAGCATTAGATGGCATGTTCCACGGCAAACCGGGGAAGGAACGCTTCCTGGCTCCGACCGTGCCGGATCAGCTGGAGGAGGAGTTTGTCAGAACAACCAGCCAGCCAAAGGCTGGAGTTACAGGGCAGCTGGATGCCTGATCTGTTTCATCTGGCCCTGGCTCTACACCGAGACGTTCCTCTCTAACAAGACCATGACTCCGGCATGGTGAGGCCAACACAGAGAACTTCAGAGGACAAATGTATGTTCTACTGCAGGGAACACCGAGCAGGAACTGGGCTGTGTTCCCTGTTGTTCTACAGGCCTGCAAAGTAAGCTTTGACTGCTGGCTGCAACAATTCCCTTGCTGTAAAATGGGGATAATGTAAAGCAGCTTAAAATAGGTAAGAAATGGTGTGGCTGGATCTTATTATGTTACAAGTACTGGTGTGGGGTTTTTTGGTTTTGTTTATTTGTTGGGGTTTTTATTAGTTTGGGGTGCCAAGTCTTCATCTCTATAAAATAAAGAACAGGTCTGTTTGAAAGGACACACCTTGGCGATTCCCTTCACCACCCACCTTGTGTTCCAGGCAAGGGGAGCTTCTCCCCTTTGAAAATGCTGCTTTTTGTTCCATCTTCTTTAAAAGCTGAGGTTAATCCTTTGAGGGTCTCCTGGCTTGGTTTCTTGTAACTGTTCTGCCCGTTGGCCACTAAGGCAGAAAAACCTATGGCCGTGCAGTTAGCCATCACGCTGACTTGGGGTTCCACACTGAACCTACATCCCAGCTGTAAACGGGGACTGTTACAGCCGTGAGCCTTCAGCGAAGAAACGCACCCTTCGCTGCTGGGGCCTGCAGCTGGTTTGGGAGGCCTAACGCCCAACCTGCCGTGAACTCCCTCCTCCAGCAGAGCCCTCCTTACCTTGTTGACTCGAGACATGACAGCAAAAATAGCTGCATCGCTCATGACAGTAGTTTCGATGTTCTCTTTAGAGAGTCGGACTGCCATTTCGTGACCCTAAAAAGAGGGAGAATGCAATTGGTCCCCTGGGACACAGCTCCTGCAGTGCAGCTGTAGAGATACTAGCACCCAGGTCTTGCCTGAACTGCAAAACTACCAAGGAATGGAGCACAAACGCAGCCCTCCAAGTGAAGGACACGGGTAAGATAACGAGCTGTCTCCAGTGTCTCATCTGCAGGGGAACCTGGGTGACATTCAGCTTGCCTCCAGAGACAGGAGTTTGGCAAGAACGCACGGGACGACGCGGGGCCCGGAGAAGACAGCCAGCCCGCGCCTTACCTGGCAGAACGGCGCGCACTCCGCCACGATGACCTGGAACTTCCGCTTGCGGGCAGCTTCCTTCAGGAAGGCCTCAACGGTGCGCGAGTAGCCGATGGTCATGATCACCTCGTTGGAGTGGATATGCTCGAGCGCCTGCATAGCAATGTTGTCAGTGGTGCCCTCTGTAACAGAAGGAAGCCGTGGGTGGAATAGCAGCCAGGAAAAGCAGCGCTGGTGCTGCTAGGGCTGCCCTCCAAGATCACTTGTCACTAAAGCAATGCTGTGAGTGCTGGTAGAGCTGGAGCAGCTTTTCTCCCTGTTCCTTTTGCCAGTGGAGAGGGACCAAGAACCTGGCCCTTGAATCCCCGTGCTCCCTAGATACTCACAGACACAGCTGTATCAAAAACTCCGCCATGAGGGGAGTGGATTGCGTCAGCACCACTCCAGGTAACCGCCACGCCCACACAACAACTGGTGTCAGAAATGCAATGGTTTTACAATTCAGTAGCACTAGAAGCACGTGGAAAGCAGAGGCAGGGCAACCTGGGCCTCAGGAGGAGAGTTGGGTGCCTGAACTGTCACAGCATCACGGAAAAAGCGTATCACGGCGCTTTGCGACAGGGGTCGGGTTATATGTGCGCAGGGATTAAGTCCAACCTCCGCACATTGGTGATACTCGTCTTCAGAGGACTCCAGACTGCCCAGAAGACCAAGAGCACAGGCCAACGCCCCCCTTACTCTTCCCTCCATAGCGTTCCACCCCTCTCCCTGTAAGCCAGAGAGGACTTAACTAAGTCCTGGGAGCAGCAGGACTTCAATCCCTTAGTTCCTTCAGATTAAACCTCCCAGATCCTTGCTGTTTTCTTTCCACCTAAAAGGAGGGGGAAGCATTGGTCCCATCCCACAAGAAGCTAAACCCACAGAGCAGTTCAGACCCATCCGTACCTAACTCTATTAGCAGCTCGTTAATAGCTTCAATAACATTAGCTCTGAGAGGAGGATAAGGGGTGCTGAAATCCTCACTCAGTCCTCCGGAAGTCAGGAGTTTGTGCAGGGATTCTTGCTGGTCGCTTTCCTCACTGCGCCCGTGAAGCCTGCGGAGAGAAGCAGCCCTTCAGCCTCACGATTAGAGCGCAGGGACACAGCCAGGCTGACTAGCATCCCCACAGTGCAGCACACCTGGATGCGAACAGAGAGGAAAGAAAACCAAACGCAGGAGACACCCCATGCCACGCCAAAGAACTTCCCTAGCTGTCTCTGGCACAAAACGACACCCAAAGCTCTGCCAGGAAGTGCCTCCTAAGTCATGTGCAAAAGCTGCGGCCCACAGACGAGGCAACGGACCCTGCTGGGAACCCAAGGAGAGAACAGGCCAAGGTCAGGGCACAGGCCGTTTTCATGCACCCACAACATACACACCAAGTGGAGTTTCACTAGAGGAAATGGCATGCTGAAGGCAGCCTGGAGAAGGCTCCAGGGAGACCTTACTGCAGCCTTCCAGTACCTGAAGGGGCCTCCAAGGAAGCTGGGGGGGACTTTTTACAAGGGCCTGTAGTGACAGGACAAGGGGGAATGGGTTTCAACTGAAAGTGGGGAGGTTTAGATTAGATATCAGGAAGAAATTCTTCCCGGAGAGGGTGGTGAGGCACTGGAACAGGTTGCCCCGAGAAGCTGTGGATGCCCCATCCCTGGAAGTGTTCAAGGCCAGGCTGGATGAGGCTTTGAGCAACCTGGTCTAGTGCAAGGTGTCCCTACCCATGGCAGGGGGGTTGGAACTACATGGTCTTTAAGGTCCCTTCCAACCCAAACCAGTCTATGATTCTATGAAAACAGCAGGTTTCCGCTGATGTTAAACTCGGGGAATCCCTCTGTAGGGGAGGTGGGAAAAGGGGGTGATGGAAACTTAGCAGGCTCCCACAGAAGCAGCAGACCACACTGCGTGGGAGGGCTGTTCTGGGCTCCTAAGAGGGGTACAGACAGGAGAGGGGCACATCACCTGCCATACTCTTCCCGAATGACCTTCAGCACTCGCCGCACCATGTTGCCCACGGTTGTCTCGGACGGTTGGGCTGCCGTCATCCTCTGGCCCTCCGTCCGGATCAGATCCATGAGCTCCCCTGAAAGAGGGAAAGGCCTTGGTTATCGCTGCCCAGCGCGAACCCACGTGAGCATCAAACCAACGCGTCCACCCCGCAACGGCCCCACGGCCAGAGGCCGACTGCGGCACTAGTAACACAACACCCAGAAAAAGGACAGGGATGCGAGTGGAAAGCCACCCGCAGCAGAGCAGTCGGTTCCATTGGGATTTCTGCGGCATGGATCACCTGGATGCGACGCAGACATGGAACCCATGGAAGACCATAAGCCGAAAGCGCGCTGCTGGCAGGGTCACGCTCCACTGACAGCGCTGAGGAGAGAGCGAGGCTGAAGCGGGACACACTCGTGCAGCTCCCCACGATGCAGTGACACCGATACGCACAGCGGACCTCAAAGGACCAAGGTGCGGCAGGACAAGTGCTGGGAGCCCAGGCACACGGGCAGCTGCTTGCGAGGCTCCCGGCC